TGATGGATACCCACCCAGACAGTCTGCTTTTTGAAGTTCTCTTCTCTGCTTGCTTTACCTTTAAAGGGTTAACAAGCCCACAGGTAAAGCAAGCAGGGAACAGACACCATGGCTGGATGGATGTCCATCAAAGGGAGCTTATCGCCCCCCCCCTCCCCATGTATCACAGGGTTATAGAAATAAGGCAGATCCATGTTTGTGTAGGGTCTGGGAAAGTGAGTTTAATAAATTAAGGGGAAATGAGAGAGGTCTAGCCTGTGTTTTTCCATGTAAATTAAGTACACTAGGCAATCTAACTGAAATGTTCCAGTGATGTTTTGCTTACAAGGTAAATTCCTTAGGGCAGGGACTGTCTTTCTGCATAGTGTTTGTCCAGCGCCTAGCACCAGTGGAGTCCTGGTCTATGGCTGGGGCTCCTAGGTGCTCCTGGTAGAACAAATCATGAATAACCAGGTGTCAAGTTTTCAGCCACTGGCTAATCAAATCCCTAGTGATTTTGCAATATCATCTGTGATGTGGCAGTTAAATAACAAGGTACATATATGGTACCTCTAAAAGAACCCATAATGAACTCGAGAAAATTTGGTCCTTACCTGCTATAGAATTAACCGTGGAGAAATCATGATCAACTTAAGCAAGATGGGAGTTAGGTTTCTAACTCAGTTATAGTTCTAACTCATAAGGAAGGAGCAAGGAAAAATGAGCGGTATTCATAATATACTTTTGGATTATATGCATTTTAAAAGCACTAGCAGCAGATACCTTTGAAATGCATTGGATCATATGCACATCATCCTGGCGGTCTTCACTATTTATCACACCCAATTTGGTGTTTAAAAATTAATCACAGAGTTTAAAAGGGTCAGATCACTCACTCTACTCTTCAGGGGTCCAAGCCTGGATAAGATTATAATGCATCAACACTTAAAAAAGTACACGGTTATATAGAATCATATAACTGTAGGATCTCGAGAGGTCATCTAGTCCATGACCCCACACTGCCATCCCTGACAGATGTTTGTCTAACCCGTTCTTTAAAATCTCCAATGATGGGGATTACACAGCCTCTCACGGTAACCTGTTCCAGCACTTAACTGTCCTTCTAGTTAGAAAGTTTTTCATAATCTATATTCTTAAATTTCCCTTGCTGCAGATTAAGCTGTTTACTTCTCGTCCTACCTTTAGTGGCTCTGGAGAACAATAGATCCTCATCTTCTTTGGCACAGCCCTTAACATATTTGAAGATTTTCAGGTCCCCCTTCAGACTTCTTTCTTCAAGACTGAACATGTCCAGTTGGGCTTGATTCTTCATTGTCTTTCAACTTGCATAGCTATTTACACCTATGAGTAGTGGGTATAAAATGCTCCTATTCGATTTGGCTGCATTTTACATTCACTTTGCACAATTGTAAGTGGCTACACAAGATACAAGCAATGAGAAGGCCTATTTCCCTCCCCTGCCCTGTCCTATGGAGCCACAGGGCCTGGTTTTTCCACTGTCTTGCATCTTCAGTCATTTGCTCTGGTGCAAAGCAAGTGTAAAACACCGTGCAATCCGTACTGGCCATTCATGTGAGTGGAAGCACGGTTTCTCACTTTTCACAGATTTAAATGACTTCACAAAGTGCAGGACAATGGAGAATCAGGCCCATTGTTTTCTTACAATCTGTTAGGTTCTCCTAGACTTTCCAATTGCCAGTGAAGGTTTACCAAAGCCTGCTACTTTAGTTTGAGGCAACCTTAAAGCCCTGCCAAGTGCAAATCATCCATTTGCTTTGCTACTCAATATTTTCTGAGGTATTGATTGTTCATGAGGATTGTTCTTTGTAACCTGAAAAGACTAAACAAAACCTAATGAGCTGGGGAAGAATGTGATGAGTTAAACTGAGGTCCATGTCAGGTGAAGGTGGCCTACAGCTCAGCCCTCAGCGGGTCAGAAAATGTTCATAGGTGATTTCACTTATTAAACCCTATCAAGGAGAGACAGTCTCCTGGGGAACCAAGTAAAGCTTATTCCAAGATCTTGTTACTGTGTCTTGTTTTAAGATTTAAATAACCATTCCAACAGTTGTTTCACTCCACTGCACCAAAAGCAAACCTGAGGCTATGAAAAGGAACCCACAATGGTAAATGGTGGAGTGCAATATTGCCACAAAATGTCAAAAATTGATTTTGTTGTTGTTGCTCCTCTATTGTATTTTCTGGATTCAGAAAGAGAGAAGGAAATTATGATAATGGGGAAACCAGTCTGCCATGGGGTCTGTGCTCAGGCTCTCTGCAGCGTTGCGGGGCTGCGGGATGCACAATAAGCTGCTATTGATCTTTCTAGGTCCATCATTGCCTCTTGCTGTGAAATACTGGCGGTTTTGTTGGTGGGAAGTGTAACAAATCTGTGGCTACTTATGGGGCCTGATCCAGCTCCCATAGTTGGGTCAGGGCAAAGATCTCTACTGCGCACATGCAGCATGGGTAATAGAGCTCTCTAGCCTAGTCCAAAAAGCTCCACAGCCCTGTGCCATTTGAGCTAACAGTTTTCTGCCCCCATCCCCCTTTCTTAGAAGTAAGGCACCTTACCTTGGCCAATTGCGAGAGGGCAGCATTATACATGGAGCCAACCAGAAGCTGAGCTGTATTTTTTTTTAATCTATTTTTCCCTGACTTTTCCTTCGTCCCTTTTTCCACCTTTTTTCTATTTATGGTACTTGTCTGGCCCCCTTTACATAAGATCTGACCACCTCACCATCTTTAATGCATTTGTCTTGCAGTTGTCTCTCTTTGATTCAGTTCAGTGATTTCAGAGTCCATCCTATTTGATTTTGTTTCTCCTCAATCAGTTTCATTGCATTTTCTAATGACATCATGGGTGACCTCAGCTTTGTGACAGGGCCTGGGCTTTTTGGTACATTTCCTACTTTAGCTGAGGATTATTTTTTTAAAAATGTCTGTTTGATCTCTTAGAAAAAGTTGTGGATTAAGCAAAGTTTTACCAGCCAAGGATTTCTGAGTTCTAATCCTGGCTCAGTTCCCTGGCCTTGCCCCGGGCAAGTTCTTTAACCTCATTCTCTCTGGTGTAAAACCTAACATAATTTGAAACACTACTTAGGATTTACATGATTTAGCACCTAGTATAGACATGATTTCACACCCTTATGAATATGTTAGCTGGTCATGAGGAATCCTAGACTTTTCCTAACCACCTAACGCATTTTTAGGTGCTAAGAGGTGTTTAATATCACGTGAGCTAACACTATTTAAAAAGAACACTTATTTACTAGCTAGACAAGGCCTATGGATAAAATAGTTCAGCTGGCAAGCTTCAGGGCTGTTGTGAAGACTAATGTTTGTAAAGCAGTTTCAAAGAGGAAAAATACTGGGGTGTACATCTATCCCACATTAGTCTGCTGTGCATTAAGGGTATGTCTACACTTAACACGCTGCAGTGGCACAGCTGCTGCACCATTGTAATGCTTCGTTGTAGACATAACAGCGATGGGAAGGGGTCTCCTATCACTGTAGATAATCCACCTCCCCGAGAGGCAGTAACTAGGTTGACAAAAGAATTCTTCCTGTCTACACCGGGGGTTAGGTCAGCTTAACTACATCTCTCAGGAATGCTTCTTTAACTTTTCAGTATAAACAGCCCTCAAAGTGTTCATATAGACAAGCCCCAAGTGCTATTATATGCTCCCAACCCAGCACTGCCAGATTCAAAACTAGAGAGTCCCATCTGATGACATTTTAGTAAAAAATGTGAAATGTTTGTTTTTTAAGGATTCTGCCTCATTTATGCAGTCCCATAATCTGCCAGCAGTGGCAGACAGGCATAGCACCAGTACAAAACTGAGACAGCTTCTAAACTTGTCTGTTAGACTCTCGGCAGCTAGAGAACTTTGGAAATCAGCATTAAGTCCCTAATCCTGCAATCCCTGTTCAGATAACGGGTCCCATTGACTGCAGATCATGACTTCTCATGCAAAATTCCTTTTGTTACTAAAATATCACCATAAAGCCCCCCAAAATTTGCATGTACTAAATAAAAGCCATCAGTATTCCCTGCTCTTTTCCACAATCCCTTCCATGATTGTGAAGGGAAGGAAATGATACGCTACACTGTGGCCTGCTAAAGTGTCCCATCTACCTCTCCCAAAATGAGATAAACTAAACCAGAAAAGAAATAAGAGTGTTCACGTGAGGAGTTATACCAGTATAACTATAGCAGTATAATTTTACCACTATGATTATGTTGGTAAATTTCTCTGTTTAGACAATCCCTAAGCATCTTGATGTATTTTCTTTCAGCAGTGTCGGCTAGGGGTCTAGTTGCATAAAATAAAGAAAGGCAATGCCTTTGAGATCAGCAGCAGCAGAAGTCTATACAAAAGCAGCCATGTGTCTTCCCTACTGGCAGAAGCTGTCTGTGCAGAGTTCTCTGTCCTGAACCCTGCCTACCAGTCCCGCACTCTGCGGTGAAATAAAAGGACACCTCGTGCCTCTCTTTTAAATTAATATTAGTTCTGCTAAGCATTTACACCTTTCATTTTCAAAGCACCATCCAGAGATAAATATCTCATCAGCCTGGGGTCAGCTCTCATATGGATGTTTTTTCTGCAGGACACCACAACTCTATGGGCAATCAATGGCAGAATGTCACTGCGGAGAGCCAACCAAAAAGCCAAGCAAGAATAATGTCCATATAATGTAAAACAATTTCACACCTCAGAGGGGATTAATAACATTCACTGCATCTTCAATCATGAGTTTCATTTTCATAGTAAAAAAAATAAGCTATACACTGTAAAAAATAATACAATGGATAGGGGCAGGGAGAGAGAGAGAGAGAGAGAGAGAGAGAGAGAGAGAGAGAGAGAGAGAGAGAGAGAGAG